TTTCCTGCAGAGGTTCTGTAATGGATCTGCTGCGGTAAACCCCCCCACCGCTGCCCGGCCTGATGATGCTGCCGGGACCCCTGATACCACATCCACACAGTGGGTCTGTGTTCGCCACGGCCCATCCGCACCGTTTCTCAGCTGACATATTGAGGAGGAAAGCCCGCCTCGGTATCTGAGGAGGCGGCTCGTAATTATCGCACACCTGTGTTTGTTGATTATGAGGAGTTTCCCAGCAGTGTGGGCCTGAGTAGGAGAGGTTGTAGCTCCAAACACAGGAGGGAGGTTTATCTTAGCCTTGAGGAGCTGCCTCGGTCGGCCCCCAAGGCGGCGGCGGCGGGCTGCGGCTGCTGATCAGCCTCAGGACGCAGCCTGGGAATCAGCCCCAGAAAGGCCTTTCCTGACAGGACTCCCAGTGTGCACAGGGCTTAGTTTACACCACAGTTAGTAAAAACAGTATTTTAGGGGCAGTGTCGGCCTAGTGGTTAGAGCAGTAAGCTTGTGCTCTGAGAAGGGAGCAAGCCTCCACTCTGGGTCCCTGAGCAAGACCTTTAACCCCACATTTCTCCCCAGGCGCCGCCCACTGCTCCCCAAGGGGTTAAATGCAGAGATACATTTCTCCAATGTGAGATCAATAAAGTTCAGTTATTATTATTATTAAGCTAATAAGAATAACTTTGAAAAGCACTTAAACAAATCATTCAAAATAAAGATATAACTGTTGGACCAGAACGTCTACAGTCATTCCAGAAGGAAGTTCTTATGATATTCAAGATTCATTAAGATACAGTTTGCAGACACTTCCTTAAAGGGCATATTTAATAGATTTTTATCAATAGATTGGAGAAATTTATGGAAAAAATATATATATGTGAGCACAGAGCAGCTAAGAGCCATGGTATTACATTAAGGGCTGCAACTGACAATTATTTTGCAAATTAATTATTTTGTTGATTATTTTTTCTATTAATTATCTGTTAGATAAAGGCCCTTTAAAAAAGGCTTTTTACTAAATTAAACCAGGTGAAGCTAAAACATTTCCACTTAAGGAGTTCTGGATAGAGCATACTGACAGACGAAAATGTGTTTTTTTTGTTTTGTTTATATATTTAGTGGGTCTCTGTCAGCTAAAGGCATATTTTAGAGTCTCCATACTCCAGTTAATGATTAATCGATTACTAAATCAGTTGATGATTATTTCAATGATCGATCAATCACGATTAATCCCATTAATTATTTGAGTCCTAAATACATTTAAAACGGAGGTCATGTTTAAGGTGATGGGTTAAAGTCTTGAGTTCCTGCTGAGGATTTATCTTGTGCTGTATCTATTTATGAGGTGAAAATCAGAAGAGATGGTCTCTGGATGCTGTAGGTTAAAAACTCAACACACTGGTTCTCTACCGAGAGATTTAAAAGCAATTTCGTTGAGCCCTTAATCCAACACAACGGGGAATCACAAACTCTGTTTAAATGCTGGCCCCATTCAGATAGTTTCCCCAACCAATATTTATTCGAATTAAAAATACTTTATTGTAAACTATATTCATTGTTTTATGTTGATAGATGTAGGCAGAAGGGCTTCTACCGTAGCAGCCATTCAAAATGGCCCTTCCCAGTCAAACGCCAGCCGAATGGCAGCCCACTTCCCTCCAACTCCCAGCCACTGGAGTGACCCCCTTTTGCATATTTTTTT